CCCAGTGTGAATACTAGGTAGCCAACGTTGGACGACAAGTGCTGTACTGTAAGAAGGGCAACCAATACTGTATCACTACCGTACCGACAGAATCACACACAGCCGTTAACATAGAACACGGGGTGACATTTCCTCATTGTAGCTTATCTTGAAGGATGGAAGCCATGTGTGGACATCCCTTTCCGAGGCCAAAAACGTCATTTCTGGGGGCAGTTTAGTAAATGATTTTTTGTTCACCCAGTGTAAATACTAGCGCAGCCAACTTTGGACCACAAGTGCTTGGAGGTGGAAATCGCGGCAGGAGTTTGGAGCGAGGGAGCTTCGAGCGTGCAATACACATCACAACACATCACACACTATTAGGAGGCGTAGGGTCTGTGTGAGGGTTTATGAAAATTTAGGATGCCCGCCCTCCCGGGCTCTGAATCTACATTAACATGGAACCTGCCAAACACACATTCCACTAACATGGAATTCCTGCATAGGCACTAAGTGAAACGGGTTTGCAGGCTATGTTAGCCCTCTGGGGGCTCTTTTTTTTCTGCTTACATGGCACCTGCGCCTTTAAAACATGTATGGTTAACATGACCACCTGGGGGCTCTTTTTTTTTGGCTAAGTAGTTCTGCTGAAGAGTAACATGGATTATACATTGGGTTTGTCCATGTATATCCTATTACTGTAAAGGCCTGCCTTTCCATCAAAGTGATAATTGTTTACCGACTCTTACAGGTCATCGGACGAACCAAAGTTATTGCAGTTATGTATTGCGTGTGTTGAAACATGGAACCCCTCATGAAGGGCAAAGTGTTCGTCTCTTTCTGCTTCCATTACAGTAATCATTAATGATCATTAAGGAATGCAACCTGTTCGGATGTTCGTTGGGCTTGAGCGAACTTCAAACAACGGCACTTGCATCCAGCATTGGGCCCCTTGGGCACACAGCCGCCCCATCTGGAGTCTATCGGTCACTGGAGTACCTGATCAAAATTGGGAATTGCAGTGCCACTGGTCGAAAAAGGCAAAGTCCAGTGACCATGATCTAAGATCATGCAAAGCCTGTACAATAGGGAGCCTCTCACAAAGCGAGGCCTCCTTCAAATTAGATTCCCCAGACTGGATGTTAAGCACCTGAATTGTTAAAGCGATCTTTGATGAATCCTGCAATGTTCGCCATTGCGTGTTTGAGCGCCAAAAAACCATGGCACGCTCATTTCCCCCAATGAGATTTCTCAAAAAGGTGACGAGTGCTTTGATCTGCTGAAGGCAGGTCTTAATCTCACACAATGGGTAGCAGCTGCGTGGCACACTAACAAATCAGGCACAGTTGTCATCAAATCAGCGCATTGCCAATGCTCAAGGTGTTGAGTCTTGACAAATGAAATACAGTACATCATGCTCCGAATGTCTTGCAAACAGAAGAAACACCTGCCCATGTCTGGGTACAGCTGGAGAAAGATTCTGGATGTTCCCATTGGCTAGCTGTGAAATAGAGCCTCACTTCATTGTCAAGCCAATTCGCCATTTCTCTTTTCCTAACCGCAGGCGGACGTCGTAGATTGTAGAGAAGCTTTAAGCATGGACACCCCGTGCCGCTTGATCTTCTTATCATCGACCACGGTACGTTTGCAAATGCCTCGTAAACACGCAACGATAGCAAACACCAAACAATCCAGACTCCCCTCCCCTGCTCTTCAGAACATCCTGTTGTTGGCCACGGCCAGATGTGTCTAGGGAGTGAACCACGCCCGGACCTTGCCTTCTCCAAGCTAACCTGACACAAGGATAGCATACCGTCCATACCCATCCTGTGTGAGACCCACAGAATCAAAGAACAAAGATGAACATAGGGACAAGGGAGGGACAAGGGCAAGGGACTCTTCACTGGCTTAGTGGGTCTTCCTCATATGTCCTCCATGAGGCATGATGGAGTAGACTTAGCAGTGGTGACACTTTTGAATCTTTTGACCTAAATGCCGGTATTGCCATCCTTCAAGCCAATGGTGCCTTCACCCCCACCCAAGCACAACACCATTGCGCAGTCTCTCCTCTTTCCTGTCTTCGCTCCAAAGACCTGCGCATGATGGAAGTCCAAGAGTACACAACTTAGGTCAAAAGTCAAAAGTCCTTTCTGCAGTGGTCATTTGTGGTCATTTGCCTTGAAGAAAAGCAAGCATTGAGCTAGAAAGCTGTGACTAAAGCTGTGGCCCCCCGGAATGTAAACGTCCTCTCTAGCAGATTTGGTGAGACTAGTTTGAGATTCCTCTCCCAAACATCTGTGAATGTCTGAAAGCTTCAACGAAAAACGGTGGAGGGGGGCCACCTCTCAGTCTGGGCCTCCCGGCAAGACCCTGACCTCCACCTGATCGTTCACGGAGAGCGCCGCTTTGGGGTAGTTCGAGATCTGAGGCGTTTCTCGCGCAAAGACCAACTTCGATTCAAACTTGACAATGTTGAGGCTGAGGCTAAGAGTTGAATGTAGTTTCTTGGATGTTTCCTCTAATATAGGCAAATTAGGCAAACATATTCGCAAATATGATTAGGTAATAGCTTTGGTGCAACTTCCTCCTACAGCCGCCCTTGTGTGCAAAAAGGATTGTCCGAGAGCCCCGGCATGAAGCAGCCCATCGCAGCCCACCCCGATGTCAATGAAGGCACCAAACGCGACCACGTTCCGCACCACACCCGTCAAGCGGAGGCCCAACTGAAGCTGAGCAGCCTCAGGGCGAGTGGTTTGGGGAGAAGGAGAGAACTGTAGGACTGAACCTGCAACCAGGCTCTCTGATGAGTATTGGGGAAACTTCTGATAGTTTCATGGGGCTTCTGATAGTTTCCCCAGAAGTCCAAAAATCATCCATGGACTACATCTCTTCTCTAGCGACTCTAGTGCACAAGGAAAGCAAACCACGAGTTCCTTGCGGCTAAACGCTACATCTATTGGCTTTGGACTCCACTCTTGGCAATTCCCTAAAGACTTGAACAGTTGGTTCTGACGAGCTTGGGTCACACGTCGAGTGATTCCAGGATTGTCACAGTCCTGTTCAGCCATCCGCCCAGCCACAGTGATTCCAGCTTCTTGTGCATCGATGGCCGAGCTTGTGCCAGCGGTGGCAGCCTGGCTTCTTTGAGACTGAGGGAGATGACAGGGGTGTCCTGGGTTGTGTTAAGGCAATTCGAATAAATATCTTAGGCATATTTAGGCTCTTGATTCATACAACCCCCCACGTGAAGAGGTTTACAATGCAAATGGGGAGAGCTATTCTTCAAGTCCACACATGACACCAACAAACGTCACCGGTGAGGTGCGTGTGTTGAAAGCAGAAAGCTTTCAACAGGCAAGGGTCCAAGCAGGTACAGTAACTCCCCCCCCAGTACATTGAAGCACTGAGATGCACTGAGATGCTCTGAACTCTTTACCATATTTTTCAGACCACGGGGTCTCGACACTGGTCTTGATGTATATTTGTTAGAATTAAGCTTCTCACATCTCAGAAATGTACCCCTACCAATCAAATCTATAGATCAAATTGATTCAAATTGTATGTGACTGATGTAAAGTTAAAGGGCAGCCCTACCTACAAGTTGCATGCAAAAGGACCTTCGGACCATGGCATGCGCCTGGAGAGTGCTACCTGGCATTTTGATCCGCAGCGATGGTTCCTGTCGCCTGGCACATGGCATCACTTGGCACGAAAAAATGGACGTTGGGAGCACACCTTTTTCCAACATACGAGCGCTTGGATGAACAGGAGTTCAAAACCATTTCTTCCAGTTTCACGCCGGCTCACACTTCAAACACTTTATACCCATTCTTGCATACATTCTAGAGGACGCTACGAACGGAGCATTTCAGGCATCGCTACGAACGGAGCGTTCGGACGCTACGAACGGGGCTCCTGGCCTTACGACTAGTAACAAGAAGCTACTAGAATCTCAGAAGCCTGTGTCTGTAGGATCCAACTGCGCGAGCTGGGCCTCGGGTCCAACAACTCCCCGTCTGCGGCGTTCTCCAAAGCTGAGCAAATATCGCTCAGGGTTTCCTTGGTTCACATGCTTCGAACGAGCTGGGGAAGACCATCTTAGTAAACCGAGACATGCGCATACAGGAGACATTCCAACATTCAAGTGTGACTCTACTCCATGAACACCCAACAAGAAAACCGGCGCTAGCCTGGTACAGAAGCGAGCTCTGGCAGGCAATCAAGACAGTTTTCCAATACGTGGTCTGACACACCGATGACACCACACCCCTTTGAGCGGTTCTGAACCCGCCGTTCAGCAAAATGAAAGCCAGCATGCAGGATCCCTCACGACTGGCATGTCCGAGGGTTCTGGAAAAGGAAACTGCCCGCAAAGACGATCAGCACTGCTCAGAGACGAGTGTCGTCGTCCCAAGGCCAAGCTTCAAAGGCTGTTGACCATGACCCCCGACATGAACAAAATAGACTCCCTGAAAACTGCCATATGAAATCATGGAAGTGGAAAACCCTCTGTTTATCTGTTGGGTATTCGGAAAATGGTCCTCCTTTCCGGGCCATGCCATGTGGCAAACCGTTACAACAAACCTGGTTTCAAATCATTAGTGACTGCATGTGGCTGCCCGGGACCGCTATCTTTCTGACGGTTGATTCAATTTCAAAAAAAGAGTGTGGAGATATTGTGGGGATATATGGAGGTGAATGTAGAATGTAGAAGCTCTGTGCCACTATTGGGGAGGACAGGTTCATCAACAGCCCCAGGGCAAAGGTCCCCGTCTCCTCCTCAGGTGGTTAGACCACCCGCCTGGCACCCAACCTCACGAAGGCAGCCCCAGGGAGCTTTAACATCTCGTTCATCTTCTTGGGACCTTTTGCCCAGTGGCAAAGCCAATCCCGAACTCCGCCGCCAGCTCTGAGGTGGCAAGGACTTGGACGCGTGAGCGCAAGGACTTGGCCACAGCATAGCCTCAGTCATCGTTCAACGGGTCCCGGAAGGCTGAAAGAGAGCCCCACGGCCCAGAAGGGTTGGGCTCCGGTTTTGCAGGTTGGAGATCGGTATCTATATGATTCATGATGATTCTATGTGCATCATCTATACTTGTCCAGAGCTGAGCTGCATGCAACAATCGCTACATAAATCGATCATGCATCGATCATCTATCTTCAGAGGGCACCTTGTTCCTGCAATAGCTTACAAATATACATACAAGCACAATCAAGCACACATCAATACACCCTCCTTAGGACTTTAGGATCTTTAGGACGCTCTGAGCGCGGGTAAGCCAAAGACGTCGTAGCGCTGCCGCGGGGCTTTCGGGGTGGATGGGCAACGCATCCAAAGGCTCCTTGCCACCGAAGATCCGTAGGAAGCCAGCGGACTGTTGAAAGCCTCAGGACTTGATGGCGGACTGTTGATCCAGCGTTCCTGGTGGGATCTTTTCCCACACCGACTGATGGTGCCGGTGGGAGAGGAAAAAACAAGGCGACCGGTGTCATCGCTGCCAAAGGTGCTTTTGGGGCCGAAACCCTTAATCTTCAAGAGCTCTTGTCCTCGGCTGCGAGGAGGAGAGGTCTCGGGTGGCAACGGTGGCACGGTGGCACGGTGGCGCCCCCACGAGAGTCGTTGCCAACGCCGAAGATCGCGTGCCGGATTCCGGGTACAACATTCCAAAAAGACCGTCGTCGGACCATCAAACAAGCGTATAACATGACATCTAAGTTAAAGGCTGCATCATCTGCCAGGGCCCCATAGGGGTGTCTAATAATAGCCCCTTAGAACTCCCCTAGAGGATAAGGGGAGTTTCTAGTATATAACCATGCCCTGGTGTGTTGATATATGTTCCATAAGCGTCCATACCCAGACACTCCATGTGCGCGGTATGCCATATATGCCTACATTGACCCCCCAAACCACCCCAATGTAGAAATATATATGGCATACATGGAGTGTCTGGGATACTACAATATGCAATATCCTTGAAGGCAGCCCACGGCTATTGCTCACCCAAGAGGCGATCGGAGAAGCCACCATGTTCCTCGCGATACTGGAGGATACTCCTGCCATAAGGGGGCAGTCTACACCACACGAGCACCGCACCAAACCACCGCAGGTCACCACCCATAGATTGTTTTTTGGTCTACAAAACCAAGCCAAAGGAGATCACTTCAGAGAAGCTTTGCAAGATTGACATTAAGGACTGACTGTAGGATCCTGCCGACCAGGGGGGGTCAGTCAATCCATATCAATCCAAGAGAGTCTGGGAAATGTGAGACGATGAGAAAAACAACCGACAGTCATTGGCTTCTTGGAGCCTTCTTCCAATCTGAGCTTTCGTCCTGCCTGGAGAGGGAGGCATTGAGACCCGCCACATGTTCCTCGGACGTGGTGCGGTTGTGGTGGCTCAGGTGATGCAGCAGCAACCAAACGCAATCGCCCGAGGTGTCGCATCGCCCGATGTGAGTCCCCAAATTGCCAAAAGCACTGGAACCAACAATGACTCCAGTACATCGCCCATGTTGTCTCGCTTTGGACACCTTGGCCAACCTGGACATCTCCATGAGCCCTTCCATCTTACACAAAACAAACCTAGAACCGCCAGCCTCGTCGACCTGGTCAGCCTATGTCAGCCCTGCCCAAAACCAACCAAAAAACACACACACCCGCCAGCTCGCCGCCAGATCGGAGAGATGCCGGGCGTCGAGCAGCGATGGGGAAGCGGTGTTCAGATCCACACCGACCGAGTTCACCGAATCCATCGTGGCTCCCCGCAGCTCCTGGCGAGGCAAAAGGTCGTCCACGGACGTCGGACCTTCGGGGTGTTCGGGATGTTCGGTGCACATGTAGGAAGGATCCAAGATGATCCAAGCCCCAAAAAAAACAGGGAGGTTCGTTTCGGTGTCTTGGCGCTTCACCTAACTAGGTTGATCAAGTGAGGGGGCTTTGTTGAAGTGATCTGCTCTCGTCTACCAAGGCTGGGGAGGTCATCCGCTGCTGAGACGCGTGCGCTGGCCCCGTGGCCTCGGCGAGACGCTTCTGATCCACGTCGTGCTGATAGAGACCCACGCCGATGGAACGCGGGTCGATCTTCCTGAACCGGAAGATCTGCGGCCAAGGCGAGGCGAATGAAGCACCGCTCTGAAAGGTGGGGAGGTCGCCATGTGAAGGACATCGCGAATGAAGAATGGTTGGGAAGTAGGGAACCGGTTTGCCAGGTGAGGATAGGTGAGGTAGGAAGTTCGTTGGGCAAGTCTCCATGGCCTGAAGGACTTGGTGATCACAGTGTGATCACCATCTATATGGACCTCCCTTAAATTAGATCATCAAGCCTGAATCTGAGTCATACAAAGAATCCAACGTCATACTGTAGGTCTGTAGGTCATACGCCCGCACATGATCTGTAGCAACCTGCTGAGTGCTGAATCCAAGGATCACCAGCTCCGCCAAGGGGTCCAGCAAGCGCCGGGCAATGGAGACAGCACCACGCATGGAGACATCCATGGAAGGCATTTCCTTTGAGGCCAAAGGAGAAGCGCTGTAGACCTCAGTGGTCGCTTTGCATTGGAAGGGCAGAACCAACAGCACTGGGGAAAGGGTCAGGTCCATGCAACTTTGGTCTGTTGTGTCTTGGCCTTGCAACAACAGTAGCAGTATACTGACCCCAAAGGGTCCCAGTGATGCCCGCTTTGGCGCCCTAAGCTATGTTGGATTTGCTTTCCAGGCACCGGGAGAACGATTCCACAGAAGCCAATTCACCCATTTCGGGAAAATTAAAACTCATCCTTGCGGCAAAACCAGGATCTTCATTGTCATGATGCTGCTGGGTCACTGGGTCTGCATCTTCGTTAGATAGAAGGTCACCGGCCATGGGAGTCCAGCCCCGACAACCGCCACCCGAGGAGGAAGGACGCACATCTGTTGCCAAGGCGCTGAGGCGCCTGCCTCATCTACAATCACATATCCAATGCCCTCATGCCTGGTCACGGATCCAACTTGAATACCCTCCCTGCAACAAACATGGAAGTGGACAACCATGGACAACCACCGTAGATGAAAAGGGTCTTTCCACGGGCCATGCCGTCCGGGCCTTGTCGCGGGGAGTGTAAACGGTCTGCAATCTTGATTGAGTATGCGGAAAGGACACATCAATCGGATTAAAGAGCCGAAGCAATGAGCAACACTATAACTTCAGAAGTCCATACCATACTGATGCTTTGAAGAAGGCAAGAGTGAGACCTCTTCCTGCCGGGATTTTCAACAAATCACTATATAGATTGCATTGAAGTTCACTGGCTGGTGCTTTCTCCACCCTAGTCCCAAAAGCATGAGTCACTCGATTGAACGTAAAAACTGCTAGCATCCCAGGTTAAAGGTTCAATATTGACATGAGCTGCAAACTGTTAAACACTCTATCATCATAAGTCAGCACTCCGCGGTAGATCCATTGGCAGTAGACATTGTTCAATACCATGTTCTAAGCAATTATCACAGTGATCCCCAAATAGATAGAAACGGTGTCCAATACATTCCGTCATATTCCGTCTATATAATGGTTCTGAGCAAATACTTGAACAACTCTAAGTCAACACTCTGCAACCGCCAAGCTCCTCCTCCTCCGTCGTCCTCCCTCGTCCTCCGAGGTACTGGGCGAACTGCCGCCGTAACCAGGACTCGGTCTCACGACTGGCTGTGCCATTCCTTGCCACGAAAAATGCCACGAAGACCGGTAGAACTGGCTGAATGAAGCACCATGGGTAGGAACAATTAGGAATACAATCAAAATCTTTAAATCTAGAGGATTTTGTTTCCAGAAGCAAGCAGGATGAGTATGAAAGACACACACACACCCATATATAGATCTATACACACATCCCAAAAATTGACAGTCTCAATCATGAAAGAGAAACTCTTGCATAATGCCTGGGGGTTATATTTCTCACTTGTATGCCCCTGTGAAAAGGATTGAGCAGATTTTCAGCTTTCTTGATGAACTAGTCTGGTTGTAAGTAGGTCCGTAGGTTCACCTTCTTTCGGACCACATGGGAAAATCACATCTCATTCGCTTCAACTAAGCTTCCCCAGGCTGCAAATCACCAGCTCCCGGACCTCCTTCTCCAGTCGCCGCTTCTTCTGTGGAGCCTCCTGGGAAGCCGCGGCGGATGGTATGAAGGGAATGACCACCGCAACAGGACCAAACTCCAGCACCACCTCGGGTGAGGAATTTTGACAAATATCACCTGCGTTGGAGGCCCCAAATGCAGTATTTCTTCAACATTCACTCAGAATCACTGGCATATCACCGATATATGATATATGTACAGTAATGTACAGTAATTATTTCTGTATCACCTACTGCCCTCATCCAACTATATACTCATGTACTCTCACTATCGGTCATCAAGTTTGTTCTCCTCCTCGCGCCGTGGTGCCGTTAAGCCTTGCGCCAGTAGCTCCTCCACATCTGCCCGTGCCGCGGGTGGATCGGCGGGTGCGACCGCACTGGAGGGCGGATGCGGAAAGATGGTCTTCGTGGCGAGGACTTGACCAGTGAGGCTGATCAAGGCGCATTTGCAGCCAGTTCCTGGGCTAGGTCAGACCAGCAAAGGACCAGGGAAGTGAAGCTTTGGGAGGGCAAAGGACCAGGGAGGTGGTGTTGGGGAATTGCAGGTCTGCAAGTGCTAAAGACTGTATAGTTCAGTGTGGCACCCATCTTTCTCCCATGTGTTTTCCACCGAACTTCTCTGCAGCCGAGCAGATCCATCGTTCACTGGGATCTAAATGGGTTGACGAACAAGAAAACAACAACTCGGAGCCTGGCCAACTTGGTTCAGGCCTCCTGAGGACTGCCATGTGGATTTTGATCAACTACAGTAAACCAAAAAATACCAGGACCATCCAGTAAGTGTATGACTACCCTGCACTACTTGGGGGTCTCCAAACAGGACACCCAAACAGGATAGTACTCTCAGCTCGATCACTCGCTTTTAATGCATTGTTGATCTTTTTGTGCTTTTGGATGCTTTTGGATCCTTTGATCTTCTAAGCCCCCCAGAAGGCCCACATGTGTCCCCCAACCGAACTCCCTTACACCGCCGAAACCCGAGCAGCGGAAACCCGGATCCATCCCGATGATCGCCGCTGGCATCTCCGCGTTCTCCTCCGTCCAGCGGGGATGGAGCCTCCGTGGCGAGACCCGGACGGAGATCCAGCCCGGACAGGTGGACAAGCTTCCTTCCTTGCGAAGCATCTGTGTGCTCTTGTGAGCTTGTGACCAAGTCCTGTCAGCCGTCATGGCTTCAGGATCGAGAGGTGTCTAGATCTTCGTCCGTGGCATGACTTCGTTGGCTGAAACATGCGTTTCAACGCACGTCAGCCTCATGAGCCCAAGAAAAAGATCACAGGTGCTAGACTTGAACAATTGCACCCAATAGCTATATTCACTGCATGAGGAAGATCTGTTGCGATGAAGTGCCGATCCTCTCCCCATGCGGCCTCAAAGGAGGGCTCATAAGCTTCCTGGGGACACAAGTGGACGCGAGGGGGTTCTGCCAGTTGGTGGGTTCTTTGATTGTTGATGTTACCACCCAGTGGTGATGCAACTGATACTGGGGCAAAGGAGAAACTGATTTATGGTATTCTCGGAACATTTGGCCATCAGGGTCTGTGTAGTGCAAAATGATTGTTTTTAATGCAAACATGTATCTGTCACCAGGGTGCAGTAGATGTGTTGATTTGGGGCTTGAAAAGGAACAAAAGCCACATGGGTCCCAGCAAAAAGCGCTTCAGAAACTCAAAACAAAGACATGAGACAGGGATAGCAAGAGCATGAGTCAATTACAAAGGCAAAGTTGTCGAAGCTGCGTAGTCTGCGTCGCTTTCATCTCTAAATGCTTCTCATCTCATTGCATCTCGGTGTCTTCTTCAGATTCTTCCGAAACGTGTCGAAGGCTTCATCTTCCGCACGCTCCTCTAAGCGAAATCGGCGATCGCCGATCGGGGACCCAAGTCCTCTCGGCCACATCATTGGCACATCTATACTTAGACACGTACATTGGCACACGGCATGCCACTGTGTGTGTTTTGCCACTGGTGCTCAGTGCCAGCGCCCAGCACAACACAGCAGGAGGTTCTCTTTGTTGGGAGTTTGCACGACTTGTGAAAACGTCTGAGGGGAGATAAGACTTTGCATTCACGACGATGGTCCTGAAATGGGGAGAAATGATGAGAAATGATTCATCCAATATTTACAATTATTAAAATTGAATAAACATCAAAATGGTTTCTTGTCTATTTGGGAAGCCTCTGCAGGCCATCATGGAATCCCAGGTGTCGTAAGGGAAGGGGCCTTTCTCTGATTCCCGACGCTGAGCGTTTGCCAATGACAAAACAGGACAAATCACTTTTTGGACAAGACTTCCTTTACTTGGAGCAAAGTTCCTGGCAGAAAGAATTTCTTCTAAGATAGCTCCGAAGGATTGGGAGGTTGGAAACGCCTTGAACGTCTCAAAACGTCAGAAATGCCGATTCCACCTCACAAAATCAACCAGGAAAAAAACACATGCAAAAACACCATGCACTCTGACCCACCACCATGGAAGTGGACAACAGGCCCCTTGGAAGGCCATGTTCCTCTAGGAGCACATAGGTGTTCCACGTCCATGTTAAGTGATTGGAAGTGTAAGGTCCGACCAACTGGCTCCTTCAAGCGCCTTCGCCACTCGCGCTGCAGCGAGGGCAGCAGCAAACGCTGCCAGGAGTCGGTCATGGCCAAGGAGAGCTGAGCACGGTAGGCATTGGGACCTGGGTGCTGAACCCAAGAGCCCCCGACCAGGAGATGCAACCCACATGTGCTCACGATTTTATTGGGGGATCTGGGCAGTCAATGCCTCCTAGTAACTAGTAACAACAGGAAGTAAGAACCCCCATGATATTCCAATGGCATTAGCAGCAGGTTGTGTAATCCTCAATCATGGCAAGCGGCGCAGGATGCTTTGCAAAAACAGTAGTGTAAACTGTTGGCTTGGGTTTCAGAAATCTGTCCCATGTCCCATGGCACAAGAATGAATAAAGGACTTGCCATACAGGTTGAAAAAGGTTGTATGTCATTTAGACTGTTCCTCCCTTTGCTCCTTCTTCTTCTTCTTCTTCTCAATGAACAGCAATCTCCGTATATACCCCTCTGGTGCGCCATCATTCCTCGTGCCAGGCGACGACGCTGGTTGGCCCGCGCCAGGTGGGCTGACGATGCTGCCAAAGTCCCAACCCTCAGCGGGGTGGGCGCTGCCTTCACGGAGCTTTGCAGAAAGGTCTCCACCAGGGTCTCGCAAAGCTGCTTGGCCTCCTGCGATGCTTTTCACATGCTGAACAAAATAACGTGTTCACCAGCATGCGAAAAAAAAGACCTGCGCGGGCACGGGCCGATGAGAGGCAAGTCGAGTGGTAGAATGTGATTTTGCATGATTTTGCCATGTGACTGACAACTCTTGAGAACACTTGGAAAGGACTCGTATCATACTCGTATCTTATAAAACTCTGTTCAACAAAGCTTGGAGTGAAGCAACTTAGGTGCTGTGCCAAGCAACTGCAACCTGACCGCACCTGGCGGCCGTTCCCCGCAGAAGCTGCGCTCCTCCGGAGCCACCAGGAAGTCCATGGTGAGGCACTTGGAAGCTTCTCCACGTTGAATGGCCAAGAACCTCATCGAAGTGAGTCGACTTCGACAAAACTGGAATGATCACAAGCTGCTCGGTCCACCCGCTTCATACCTGACATGGAGACTACACATAGACCCAGAAAGCCAACTGCTATAAACAGTCAAAAACAGGGGGTTGGCATATAGAAAGTAAGACTTCAATGGACTCCTGTGGCTACTTGTGAAGCTCCAACATTGAGTCACGAAACAGGGAATCCGCAGACTCCTTCAAGCTCGCCGTTAAGAAGGCTACTGCAAATGACCACACCAATATCTGACTGGTTCACCTTGAAAGTTGCTTCTTCTCGCGCAGGGGAGCAGGCTAGCAAATCAGCCAACCCAAAGCAACACCCACACCGGTATCCCTGGAACATGGCTGATAGGAACACATTTACAGGAAAAACCATCGATGTCACGATGTCCTCTTGGTCATCTGCTGGTCTAAATCATTGAGTTACCCTTCCAAGGTTGTCCCCGAGCCTGCCGTTCACTCCCGCACTAACAGAGGAACCATTCCCGCTGAAAAAAAAACGCAAGCCGGACGCTTCCCAGGACATGAGGGGTTCCCATTTGAGCTCAGGAACTGGTGAGGTTTCACCTGCTTCAGCGGCGCCTCGTAGCTCCAGTAGGTCTTAAAGCGCTCCTCCTGTCACAGCGCTTCACACCGAGCTGCTAGTGGAGGGAAGAAAACTGCAGCACGGTACCATGCAGTACCGTGTGAATTTCCTCAAATCTTCTAGGACAAACACAACACGGCGGCAGGATTACCCACCTCGTTGTTCAATGTGTTTTATCCTTATTGGATCCTCAAATTGTCACATATTCACATAGGATCACATAGGTCCTTAAATTGTCACAGAAAGGAGCCAACACTCTTCCGTCTCTCCTCATCCGCCCCAGGCTTCCGCCGTGCGCGGCAGAGCACCTTGGACTCCAGCGCCTGGCGCGCCAGCTGCCGCAGGTCGGCTCGGTGCGCCAGCTGCTCGGCCAGGATGTCGCGGGCGGCGCGCAGGGCGCTTTGGACGTCAGGGACCTCCGGGCTCACGAACCTGAGGATTGCAGCCGTATTTGGGGCGTTGAATGGGTCCAGTACAGTGGTTTCAGAGCAGAGCGTTGTGCGCAACAAAAGGTGGTTTATGGTGGCTATGGTCCCCCATCTAAATGACTTTGGGGTTTGTGCAATCTACTCTGAACCACTGGGTCAGTGGCCATTCCTTTGGAGCAGCGGTGGCTCCACAACGGAGGGCGACCGGCGGAAGAAAACCCCGAATGTCAACCCCAAGGGGTGACCCAAGTTCTGGTCCAAATAAACCTTAGTATCTAAGGGGCACCTTTTTTTAGTCAGTTTATGAGCTGCGAAAGATCAGGATGAACCAAATCGGCCACCACCGTGTTCGCCATGCGCTGCCCTCGTCGACGACTTCGGGCACCGCACCGCAACGGCAGCAACCGGGCCAAGCGGCTGCTGGGCAGCTTCGGCCGCTTCCTCTTCCACACCTTGGGGCGGTCCGCAGAGCTGGGCGTCCTTTTCTTTGGAGGGGGTAGCGGACGTGTGGGTGGAATGTAAGTAAGAGGAAAAAGGTGATTTGCTGATGATATCTTTAAACAATTACAGTAGTCTCTCTCCAAGATGGTGATTTGAATATCTTTTGAGGCCAAGGACGCAGTGGCCTGCTTCTGCAAGATAATTATGCATCAAAACCCCGAAAGATAGGACCTGCCTAGCAGGGTCTGGCAGTTGTGGGGTGGACGCTGGGCGCCTGAGGTTCAGTCCCAGTTTGGGGGGGGCCCTACAAATTGAAGAGCATCTTCTGTTCTATGGTGTTCCATATTACATATGTTAGCTCCAATGAGGAGTATGCATTAAGAACTAAGAACATATTTGGTTGAGAATACAGAGCCCATGTCAACCAACCCTTCGGTCATAGTCCAGCGACCTCCAGGCTCCTTGGCAGCGACCTCCAGGATCTTGGCCAAGGGTTCCAAGCCCTGCTCCTTTGCCTTCTGTGCGCCTCAGTCGAAGGCTCTGCGGCAGCCTGACCATGCTGGCTCAGCTGACTCCGCAACCTGGTTCTTAGAAGTTACCGATCATCCGCTTTGAGGCATTGAGGTCATTTGGGTCTGTTAAAAGGTCACTTGTATGGGGTCTCCCCCCAAAAATCAGTTTGAAGAAGCCGCGGTAACTAATGGTGGCTACCCTTTTTGTATTTTTTGTCACGTCAGTAGACTCTGTGGTAAGCGTTCGAAGATGCTTGAGGAGGCTCGAACCAATCCTTTGCCACACATCTGGTGTAACTTAGTAGCAGCTCAATCATTGCCATCCCAGCCGAGCTACGAGTCTGACGCTTTGCCTTGAAAGGTGCCCACAGCCCTTCGATCTCCTCCACGGTCTCTGCTTGCAGTAAACCTGGAGCGTTCTTTTTGTGCGCGCTGCTGAGAAACATCGCCACGTCATTCTTTTTGGTTTCATCACAGCCATGGTGGAAACTATTAATCAGTAATGTGTGCACATGTGATGTTACCCCAAGAAGGAAAGCGCTTCCAAACGTTTAAGAGCGTGTGTTGGGCACCCATCACCGGAAACCCATAAAAGGCTGGAGGGAAAAAGCTCCATGGTTTGGAGCTCAAGCCCGGCATCAACTCCTGGAACGGCTGAATGCATTCATTTATCTTGAAGACCCTCCACGGCGAACAGGGTCGCTTCCCAAACGACCACTGACCAAGGAGCTCTCCACGAGGCTGGGATTGAGGTGCTTGCCACGATTCAACGCGAGGGCCACACGCCCACGCTTCTTCTCCAAGTCTTTGACCCTTGACATCTCTCTTTCCACACGCCGCAAATCCTCTTCCTTCATCGAGCCTGCGCACCATGCCGCAAACCATGGGCAAGATCTTCCAAGACGCAGCAACTCAAGATCTTCCAAGACGAACGAAAGACTCAGCCATGTTCGGCTACTTATATTCTTAAATTCATATACAAATACAGTGGGCCACTTCTTCTGTTGTGGAAATTCACAAGATGCTTCGAATGATCGAAACAAATCATCATGATCATGATATCTCGCCAATATCTTGTGAAACTATTATAGTAGTTGCAACATTTCAATGTGTTTTTTCAATGATCTTCCTGTCTGTGCCTGTCTGCTCCTTCCGGTAGCGTGCGATGAAGGGCAGTGTGCTTCCCTCGTTGAAGAGCCGCACGGCGCCCGCTACGTGGCTCTTCTCAAGATGCAGCTGTCGCGAGATCCTGGGAGTGCCAAGGCCGTCCGCGATGCTCGTTTTCTCAAGCAATTGAGCTCCTGTGGTCTTACATGGGAAGTCTTACGCTGAACTCCTGCCTGACATCTTCCGACTTCGTCCCTCAGTTAGACTCAGACCAAAGAACATCAATCCAATGTGGAAACCAATCCACCCAGAAAAGGATAAATACTGGGCAGAATGCACATGCGTGCGACATGCGTAGACAAAGAACATGCTGTAGGGATGGTCACCTGATTGATATTAGGTCACTTAGCGCAAATGCAAAGCGAGGAACCATTGCAAGGACAATGCTGAGGCAATCAGCGTTCTTCAACACATTTAGATTTTTGTACAGGATCTGGGAAGCAATATGTCCCATCATCTAGAATCTAGATCTAGACTCCCTGACATTCCCTGCAAACGTTCGGGGTTTAATGGGCAACCAAGCAATCCAGGCGTTTTCATCTCAATCCGAGCATCCACTGTGGCAAGTCTGAGCTTATGCGCGACTTACCCAGCAGTTGTTCAACCTCCGAAGGGTTCGGAGAGCCCTGCAGGCTGTCGCCTTCCCAGTCATTCACGTCGCCTGCATGCACGGAGCTTGCACGGCCCAAGCACTCCAACCCCCCTGGTCACTGCAACATCTGAGATTCCAACAAACATTGAGATCGATAATTTATGATAATTTTGCCAACTTCCTCACTGAATCCGAATCGCAATTTCGACACTTAAAGTCTTTTGCCACTTGCAACACTTCAGGTGGGTTGGTTGTGTCCTAGAAAACGTGTCTTCCTGCATTCTGCAGCTGCTCTATCGCACAAAATCCAGCCACACCCTCATCTCTACCGAACGCCGGAAGCAGGGGAGAACCAACCAGCAAATGCCAGCAGTGTTGGCAAAGGTGCAAGGTATTATATGGAACCCTTGGATCTCAAACCTATAAGTATTTGTTCAGAACAGGGACCTGTAGGGAAGCCACCCAGTAATGAACACAAACAATGAACATTAAATTGTCAGCAAACAAACAATAAATTGTCAGCAAACAAACAATTTCAATGAAACGCACCGTTTGACTCAAGAGTGTCTAGTGATGCGTATATAGTGGCTTCAGTCCCTCCACTGCTGGCTTTCCGGTGTGCATCGGTGCCTGAAGAGGTGCAAGTCGTAGCCGTCTTCCGCGAAGGCTTCGCAGCACTTGGACGCCGGCCCTTCAGGGAAATCCGTTTCCGGAAACCTGCGGCCACGGATGGCACAAAGGACTTTGGGTTGCGCGTCTCGCCCAGGACTTCCACTACATCCAGTACAAATTGAATTGGCTTCTTGCTGCAGAACGCTGAAGTATATTTTTGAGTCTGTTACGAATGGGACATGGGGAGGCGGCCCAATCCAGAGAAACACATTCAAAGACATCCGGCACCCACGAAACAGTAGGTTCACGGGTCATCGCCGAGAGAAGACATGCGGGATCATCGCATCCTGTGGAGCACATCCACAAGGTCCGCGGAGCTTCAAGGAGCTGCAGCTGGAGACACAAGGTACACAGATCTTCCCCTTCAAGAACCCGCCCCCAAGCAGCCACCTCCAGGGGCGCCATGGCGAGGCTCCGCACGACTGGGGCGAGGCTTCGGCTTCGGCTTCGCGCGAGAGGCTTTGGCCTGAGCAGCCTGGCTGGTGGGGAGCCTGGGGAAGCTGCAAGGAACCCCTGCCTATAACCGGGCTTCCAAGGAATCTCGGTCGGATGAGCAGCCACTGATACGAGATTTTTGTCATGAACCTGTATAGAACTAGTTGGTCAGAATCGCAAACGTGGTAGACAGGCCAGAAATGGCTCACGAATCCGTGAAAGCCTGGAAAATAATTCCCTGGACTTTTGGATGTGTGACAGTGGTCCAGCCATCCACAGTTCTCTTGAGTACCTGGGTTTGATCCACACCCACTGACTCACGCGCGTGATTGTATGCGGATTTCCCGAGTCTCCGTAAGAAAGGAGGACCAATCACACTAAGTACTGCAGGACAGCTCCGGAACTTATATTTAGTCACCTGCTCCCACATCGCGTAACTCGGGGCGGGCGGCTTAGTGAGGGGCGAAACCCTGTCAGTCATCAGACACGTGCCTTCGTAGCTTTGGCTTTGGCTTTGGGCCGAGCTTTGCATTTTGCCTTGGCCTTCGCCTTTGGTCTCTTTCGTGCCTTTGTGCCTGGCAACGCGCTCTCTCTGCTCCACTGTTGGCCTGCAGACCACACTAACCTCCTGAGAAATCTGTAGCTCAAGTACACCGAGCATCCTTTTTTCATGGCAAACGTGTGTATCTATGTTACAGTGGTTTCAGAGTAGGTGGCACAAACCCGAAGATGTCTTTTAGATATGGGTTGGGAATGGTTGATATAAAGATAATTAAAGATATATAAAGCACCTTTTGGGAATTGTGCCATCCACTCTCAACCCACTATTATACGTTGGAAGCCTTTCCAATGCTTTGAGGGGTTCGGCTTTTTGTGCACCAAAGACGTGACATCAAGAGCGTTTGAGCCGGATTGCAATCCACTGGCAAAGACCGTTCCTATAGCAACCACATGCAACCACCGTCTGTGGCAGTCTTTCTTGGGCAAAGCCATGTTGTGGATTTTATCATGTTCCTTCTCCATCAAGTTCACATCCCACCCTCCCTGCCTGAAACAGGCCTTGCAAGGACTTCCTGCGGCGGATCAACGGGTGAAGAGGGGACCTCAACCACATCAGCCATGGACACGGGCGCGTCCATCTGGAGGCGGGCGCGTGGCGGGCGAGTGGCTGGCGTAGAGGATGGTGACCTAACGGGGGTTCTGGTCCATGGAAATCGGCTTGCCTTTCCTCAACAGTCGTGAACTATAGCTCGATGTGATGGCATTCCCGTGCTCATGTCTCATGTCATCTGTGGGCTCATGCGCAAATATCAGCATGTCTTGGATGCTCCTGGCTTCAAACGTGGCTTGTGTCACGCACGACAGTTTCAACTGAGGCAATGATCGAGTTACATGGTTCATCTATTCGATTCACTATGACACTATGTGGAAGCTTCAGTTACACAGCGGTACAACAATTCAACGTGATACAGCGATGCGTGGGATGCAGCGACGCCCTCCCACTCGCCATGTCACCCTGTGACGAAAACGCCATCAGAGACAACCCACCACTGACCCGTTTCCAAGTCAGTGAGTTGGAGTGTGGCAGCCTTGTCGACTTCGTGTTGGCCCATTGCCCAGTTCAACTACTGTCTGACAGTCTGGGTTCAAATCATTCTCCCACGACCGAGGTCCTGGCAGGAATACCTACCCCATCAGACCCCATTCCCCAATATGCTTGGCCAATTGAAATCACACAAACTTTTTGCAAAGACCGAAGGTGCGCAGATAGATTCTTGCATAAAGATGGTGTTCTTATACCTGGACCTTCTAAGGGGTGTCCAATGGAGTTCCCTATATAAGTGGTGTATGGGGCTTCCATTCGTGACCCCTTTGAAGGTGTTTGAAAGTCGTGATTTCCCCCTGCTCTGCAGGCCTTACAGGGTCATGTCGCCCAACTGCAGCTCATCATGCCCAAAGAAGGACAAACATCGAGCCATATGGAAGAATGTTCACCCAAGGATGTTCAGATGTTCAGTGTCTACCAGAGTCTGCCTTTCTCTTATCCGGTTAGCTTCCCCTGAGCTGCGCCTACACCACCTGAGCTTTCCATTTCCCTCTCGCAACTCCCAAAGGTGGTCATGACGCAAGACATGTTCTGCCGAGTGTGCTCACCTGTGGACATCAGCCAAAGGAAGGATCCAATTGACATCGTTGGGTTCCAGCTTCTCATCAATGGAAGTGTAACCCAGCTCTTAAGATCCCTGAAGGTCTCAGATTTTTAGGTAATTACCCAAACTACGCAAGGGCTATCGATGTAGAATAACCACAAATAAATGGTATGAGGGACACATGCTGTCTTGATTCCATGAGCTTTGGTCAGAACCTTCCTGACCCCTAGCACTGCTACAAAGGGCTATTGTCATTGTTCCGGTCTGGGTATATATAGGAGGGAAGCCCTCATCAAAAAGGCGCATGTTTGCTATTGCTTGTTGATTGACTGGTCATGAATGGGATCGACACAGCTAGCGATGCGGAAGTTGAATAAATCTAGCCGACCTGTGTGAGACAGCATGACTGTCGTCCACATAGGCGGAGCTAGAGTCTTCTTGGCAACAGCTTGCTGCAAATCTCCGCGGGCGCCAGGGCGCCGCACCAGCCCGAGGCACGGCAAAGGAACATTGGCGAGATTTGGGCTGATTAGGATGATCACTTTGGGCCTTTGCTAAGCCATAGGAGATGACAAGGACGACGATAAGAACCAGGAATTCGGAGCTAGGTGATAGTGATGGGCTACCAAGCGGCCGACCGCGAAAATGAATCTTGCATGGCGCACTCCTGAATTTTGGATGACTTGTATTGATTTCACACATCCTGTGCACTGAGAAACCTTATACAAGAACCCTTCCGTTCTGTAAGGGCCAATCCTCCACAACAAACTTGGACTGGGACCTCTGAGTTGGTGCCCGGCGCGATCTGTGGCTCATCTGCCCGCGGAAACTGCGTACATCCTCGAAGGATCTCTCGAATTCAGAAAAATCACCAAACTACTACTGATGGACCGGAGTCGAACTCAGTAGATCACATAACTATACCAACTTATACACCATTGCACAGCAATAAGATTGCTTTTGGTAGTGGCCACAGTGCCTACAATCCTCCCAATCTTCCACTTTCAAAAAGCAGCTCCGCTGCTCCTTTCGACCGATCCCTTTTAGCAACTTGGTGATTGGAGCTTTTCGTCTTGTCTCGTGCCGATCGAATTCGCCGCCCGGCGCGGGCGCTTGGTCTTCCGTGGAGTGGCCAAATGCGCTTCACCTACCGGCAAGCATGTGCCGGTAGGCACGTGCCCAGCATGTGCCCGGCAAGCATGTGCATGGACTTTTGATGACTATAGTACAGGTTCCAATCAGCGTCCCGAATCGTGAGGCCATGAAATCAAACCTCAGCCACGCTTTGCAACCCTATCTCAGAATCCAAGCATGACGGCAAAGGGGTGCTGACCACAGGTACCTGACACTTTATAGAAACAAACATACCGTGTGCCTTGAGTTCCAGCTGCTGTTGCCCAAGTTGAACCCTCCCCCTGCAAGCCTTCAGGATTCTTTTCAGCATCATCTTCCTCCGCCTTTCTTGGTATTTCCATATCCTGGCCCACTTGGAACCCAACTCATCCCAACTCTGTCTTCACATGTGTGACGAGAATCCTGTTGTTGTTCCTGCTGATCGGATGTTCACGCCACTCACCCGCGCTCAGCAAGGATCCCACCGAGCGCGCCAGAAACCCGTTTCCTCTTCAGTCCGTGTTGGCCGATCAGCCTTATTTATCAGTTTTTCCCACTCAGTCTAGTTCCCTAGTTCCCATTCAGTTGGCGATCCCAACTCATCTTCTGTCTCAGTTTTTGTTGGTCTTTCTGGACCGGGAAGAAACAGCTCTCCTGGCTTGGCATGGTCTCCTCCACGAAATCCACTGGCAGCTTCTCGAAGTCTTGCCCGCCTCGACGTTAGCTCAGTTCCAGTGTAGGGATACACATCAACTTCATGATACACTGTCATATACTGCCCTGTGCCCCCATTCATCCTTGTGCAGCATCTCTCTCTCTCTCAAAGGGATTCATCATTCATCCGCTTGTCCAACTTACTGGGAACTACGAGGATTTGTATCAAATCCAGGTAATGTGATCGAAGAAGTCTTGATGAGTCTCGTCGTCGTGAAGTTCCTACTGCAGCTCTGCAAAAGGATTACAGAAACCAAAGCAGCTCATGGAAGACAATTTAAATAGTTCAAACAGATGCACGTGTTTTAAAACATTAAATTTCATGGGCAGTCAATACTATATTTTAAAAAACAGTAAAGCAAAGTTGAGCATTCATTCATTGAAGACACACTGTAATAGAATAAAGTCTCATAGAAAAGACAGCAGCACTGTGAGCGTATGCATTTCATGTGGCAAAGTTTCTCTACTGGACACCTAAAAATAGCTGATTTTACTGGAAAATACACAGGCTCACAGCTCTGCCCGGCGCCCTCTCAAGGATTATTCATGATTATTCCTGTATCTTTTGGGAACAGTGTTGATTGATTACTATAATGTTTGAAAAACACAATGCCATCTAAACCAGCAGGCTGGCACAAAGCTGCCCCCTCGACATCAATTCGCCAAGTGTACCAAATGGATCCCAATGGTGTGGTCATGTCTGCGCAGGCACCCCCAACAACACATCAACAAAACATGCCCAGAAATCATGTTCGGCAGATTGCACGTTCAAACCGGCTCCGCTCTGATGAAAGCGCATCCGTTCTGCGCTGCGCCTTCGCAGTCTGGGATCTCCTCGCAACAGATTTTCCACATCCGTGCTTGTGTCGGACTGTAGACTCAGTAGTCTGAGCAATATGGAGCAGGTACTCCCATGGACAGCCATGGTTGCAATGTGCAGTCGATCTCCCAAACAAGAAAACTTTGTTCAGAGGAGACCTACATACCCTATGGATCCACATACCTCCTGAGGTACAGTGAGGACGGAGACTATTTATGTAGGCTTGGAGGGCCCAAATACTTTCTGAGAAGGAATGTGGACCCATAGGGGTGGATAATACTGATCGTTATGTGAACGTGGCGAAGGAGAAATGACAGGTGTGCCACTGCCACAAAGCACCTTCAGCTACGGCAACGAAACACGAAAAGAAACAAATTCTCCCCACTCCCACTGCCCTAAATGCCAAAACAGGCACCCAAAGGACACCGAACTCACAAAAGAATTCAGATACGTACTAAACCACTAAACATTACTCTAAACATCTCTGCACAATGATCTTCATCTGCTTTCACAAGGGCCCCCTGGATCATCTCAGCAACTTCACCTTGCAACATCTTCCAACAAGTGCCAATTCCTGCGTCGCGACTGCAGGCCTCAGCTCGTGCCAAGAGTTGGTCCAGCTGCTCCAGGGTCAGCGCTGAACCAGCAGCATGGCAGCGCTTGGCGCTGCATTGGAGCTCCTCAAGGTCCTCCAGACTTGTGCCTCGAGACATGGCGAATGAGGTGAATGAATATGTTAAAACAAAAGCACCATGAAGCACCTGAGGGATTAAAGCAAGAAACTGTGATTCCAAGCATTGAGGCAAGGTGGAACAAAACCACTGGAAGGAGGTGGAACAAAACCACTGGAAGATACATCGTCATTGTGTAGTCTTGCAACTCTCTGGGCCCATTCAAAGTTCCCACGCCCAGTGGCACTGAAGGAGGCTTGCTTGGATGTCTGCAGGCGGCTCGCATCCAATCTCCGACCAAGCGAGGGCCACCTCGATAGTGGAGCAGTTCACCCCAAATGGAATCCAACCAAACCCACATGGAATCCAACCAAAATACACTCGGACGAAAACATTAACATGGAAGTGGCAACCCCGAAAATCGTCTTCCAAGGGGCCATTCTCCACTTCCATGTTAGTGAGTGAGTGTATAGGAGTCAGTCAGGGGACAAACGCTGGAAAGTTCCACATCTCCTCCGTGGAGAATGACCGACGTTTGGGGGGAGAATGACCGAATTCCAAAGTTGTCTTCTTTGGACACTCTCTCCCTCCCTCTCTCTTTGTTTTGCTCGCAGCCTCTCAGCGAAACAAGTGCAGCGCCACCAAGTGGCCATCTAAAGCTGTAGCCATCAAGGCGGTTGACCCATCAGCTGGAGCTGCATGCTTGTCAGCTTCAGCCTCG